GATGAAGTGGACTGCAAGGTTCACGAAACGTTGGCATTCCAAGAATGGATTTGAACACGGAGAAAACCCGCGAAACACAAGATTGTCATATGAAAATTAATTTTTAAATTTTAAATTGTGCTGTTTAATAGTACAATATACATTATTTTTAGAAGGTAAAACCAAAACCACTAACAAAAACTTATTAAAGTTCAAAAAAACTTAGGAGAAAGGGCAATAGGAGTCAGGCGTAGATAAAGTTACGCAAATTCCAAAAATATAGGAAATAAAACTTCATTATTACAATCAAACACTCTTACATGTTTCGGCTCATTTTTAAGCCCTCTTCAGAGACAATAATGTATAACAAATATACTAAGAAGACCAAGGGAAGTCCTAGCATTGTGAGCTCCCTCACAATCAGAAATTCAAATAAGTCTTAACCGTCTAGTAAAATATTTCCCATAAGTGGGATAAAAGGGTCAAATAGTAAACTAAGTATAATTAAAATTTAATTGAAAATAATTGATAAATATCCGAGAGTAAGGGAGCTCACATTGTTCACAATGATACTGCATCACACACACAATCATGATAATATTCAAAAACCGGTCGCTTGAATATATCGGCCAGTCAGCGTCAAATACAGTGAGTCTGTTTAATCTAATGCTACCAGTTAAAATTATCCAGCAAATAAAAACCAATTCAAAAAAACTCTGTTACTGGGAAGCTAGTCAGCGTTGAGCGCGCACAGTAACAGGGTCTTTTTGAATTGGTTTTTATTTGCTGGATAATTTTAACTGGTAGCATTAGATTAAACACACTCACTGTGTTTGACGCTGACTGGTCGATATATTCAAGCGACCGGTTGTTGAATATTATCATGTTTGGCGATGCAGTATCATTGTGAACAATATGAGCTTCCTTACTCTCAGATATTTATCAATTATTTTCAATTAAATTTTAATTATACTTAGTTTACTATTTGACTCTTTTATCCCCTTATGGGAAACGTTTTACTAGACAGTTGGAATTTCTGATTGTGAGGGAGCTCACAATGCTAGGACTTGCCTTGGTCTTCTTAGTATTTTTGTTATACATTGTCTCTGAAGAGGGCTCAAAAATATGCTGAAACATGTAAGAGTGTATGATTATAATAAAGAAGTTTTACTTCCTATATTTTTGGAATTTGCGAAACTTTATCTATGCCTGACTCCTATTGCCCTTTCTCCTAAGTTTTTTCATTATTTTTAGATACAAAACGGTAAAATAATGATATCCGAATGTATTGATTATTGCGACGTGGTTATAAAAGAAAATTTCGTGGAGTCTTGTAAGACAGACGTTAGTGAGTGCGTACGTAAAGGTAATCTATATATATGTATACATATTTTTTAATAAAGTTTATTTTTAAAAAACAAATATAAGAGATTTTATGAAATTTTGAATTAAATCGTATAATTTTCTGTTTTTTCTTTTTTAATTACAGATAAAGATCTAGGACCCTGCTTAGAGGGCAACGAAATCTACTGTAGGATAGCATGTATTATAGCGAACGTTAAGCAGGGTAACATTAAGTATAAATGTACAATACCAGCGATGAACGCGAAAAAAAATTATTAGTCGAAAATATCAATACCACTAATTATATAATTTTAACCTTATACCAATATTGTATACGAAATAATTATCTGCACACTTATAACTCTACGATGTCTCTGTAATTATCGTAGTTAGTAAATTAGAATCAATATGTTGCACTAAAAATAAAACATCATACATAATGTTGTTTACTTTTTTCAAATCGTTTTTATCAAACCTTACTTTTCACATTGGTCGTAAGCCAATAATATTACTTTACGTCATTATTGATAATGAATAAAATTTTTTTCAAGTAAAAATTTTTATGAATAATATCCAGTCTGTGTATATACATAAAACGCAAACAATTAATTTAAATTATGATATATATAGAGTCGGGAAAAAGCTTTTTCGTATTTAAAAAAATTTTTTGCAAAATTTTTCATGTGTTGCGAAATTTTCGTTACAATTATATTATTCGCTAGAGCAAAGTTTCAGTTTTAAGAATCTGTTTTTTAAATTGCGGTATGATGATTTTTATTGGAGTTATGAGCAATCAAAGTCAGAATGTTCCTTTACTTATCTTGCGAATAACTCTTAAACAAAGAATCATAGGAACATTAAAAAAAAATGATTTTGTAGGGGAAGCTTTAAGCTTTCACGATAGGTTGTCGAAAATTTTTATAAATTTTTGTTTAGGCCCGTGAGAGACCCCCAAAGTAAAAAAAAATTTTTTCATCTTTTTCAGCTCGTAGTTTTTTTAATGTAAAAATTACCAAACTCACAGAAACTCAAAAAGTATAGTAACCTTTCGAAAGTAGAGATTTCACACAAGTTTTAAAACCCTTTTTTTAAATTTAAATTACGTTCATTTTTGACGAAGATATTGTATGTGCAATTTTAAATAAAAAAATACGAAGAAACTTTTTTCCCAACCCAATATACGTGCGTTATATTTAACTTTATGTCTTTACCATGTTTTCTAATTTCTGTAGAAGAGAAACTAGAAAATTTATAAAATTATACAATTGCACTCACGTTTCAGCTAGTATTAAATAGTAATATATTAATATAGTAGGTATTAATATCTTGTACTAAAATAGTAAATTAGTATAAATATACAATTAAATTTTCAATTTTTGCATTTGCAATTATTAAAATTCCTAGAATGATATATTTTTTTAATATAATTATTTTTTAAATATATATAATAAAGCAATGAATGTATACAGCAACAAAGCAATGAATTTTATTAATCACTGAAGAACATTTGTCGAATCAACAAAAATATAGCATTAATATCGTTACAATATGGGGAACACTCGAGTTTGACAATATCCTCTAAATGAAATCCAGGAATATCGTCTAAGCGATCGCTCGTTGTGTTGAATTGAATCTTGTTTTATGCAAGTATCAATGATGATAATGTTGCGCCCGCTTCGCACGATCTCACTCACGAGCGCGACGCGCACTCCCGAGCCGCGGAAAGGATTGGACACAGAGGATGGTTAAAAGGAAACAAACGGTCTTTATTGCAAAGGTCTATACAACTCGTAGATAACACGAGATACGTCGGAAATAAGAACTCTCGATAAGCGATGGAGAAAACACGTCCGAAAGTGTCGACGTCTCTCCAAAGATCTGCCGGACGTTCTCTATCAACAACGGCGCGTCCCCTTGATAACGCGACACCAGAAACCGGCAAGGCGTAGCAGGCGGCGGCGTAACACTAATATTGAGATATCAAGAGCATATTAACGACCGTTTGCTGTGAGATTGTTGATTAAAGATTGATAAGTAAGACAGATAGATAAGTATAGATTGACAGATAGAGAAAGAGAAAATGTAAGAAAGAAAGAGTGAGAAAGGGAGGTGAAAGGGAGGGAGGAAAAGAAACTTTTCTTCTTTTTTAAATATTTTGTTAATCTGCGATAATTCATGTATTTCGAAAGACTATTTTTCCATCAATTTTGTTTTTGTATTTCTCGCAAACCAGATAAAGTTCTTCCACATTTTCGAACAATATTTTCTCATAAGCAAACCTTACAAATGTAATATAATCAATATCACTTTGTTTTTTATTCAATGTAATGGTTTAAAAATATAGTATGTATAACATATTGAAATATTACTGGTACATAGTTTACAGAAGTTTTCTAAGTTTTTTTAAAAATGAATTGTTAAAGAATAAATGTTTTTCACTAAACAAAATTTTGAAACGAAAATGAGATGTATTTTTTTTCTAAAATGACCACCTAATATAAACAAAATTGGTATAGATCAAATGGTCAAACCTTACTAATGATTATCAAATTACTAATGATTTTTGCATTATGTAACTTAACAAAAATTGTATAGATCTTGATATGGTAAATATGCAGATTAGGGGAGCCCCCCCCAATGA